TAGAGATTTCTTTCTTAATCTTTTGTTCAATATCATGTGGAATATCAACAACTTGATTATTTCATTATTTTTCTTCAAGTTATGTGGTATCCATTTTAGTTCTTGCTGCTGCTGAAAATCAAGTGATGTGGTTTCGAGGTGTGACAAATAGTAGAGCTACTTGAAGAAATCCCTGACGCCATTTCTCATATAGCATACCCCATGGTTGATATAGAGATATACTTCTCACCATTATCAGAATTCAGTATCTAAACTCAAATAAAAGCCAGAATTTAAAATTCTGATTTTCAGGGCAGACAAGCTGAACTGCTTACACTTGAAATATTGGTATAAGACAATCTATCTATTCTTCAATCAGTCAGTCATGTGCTATGCATGATAAATGCTTAGGCGATCATTTATCTTTTGACACATTACTGACGAGGCAGATTTTTTTCCAGCAGTAGGTTGCCATTTCTTTCTGCAGTAGACCAGATGCCATCCAAGGCTATAGAACCCAGTCTGTCCTGCTATCTACCAATAACTGGAGGGAGAAGAAGTGGATTAATACCTTTCCCAAGGGTATTAGCATGTAAGTAAATGTAATGGATTCAACTGGAATTCAAATTCAACTCCCCGATTACTCAATCCTAGCCGTTATCCATTACTCCACCATGCCTCTTCTTCTTCTTCAATACTAAGCTAAATTTCAATAAATATCTCTAAGAAAAAAAGTCCTCATCTAGATGAATTGCATATTTTACGAAGGTTTAAGAGCAAACTGGCTGAAAGCTAATGATAGAAACAGTATGGATCAGATCTTTCTGAACTTTTCATTATAACAATATATCTAAGAATTTTGGTCAATGAGGAAGAATGAAGATTATGTAGTAATAAAACCAGCAAGATTGAGACTATGGTGTCCCTAGAGTATGGCACATGGCCTGGACAACACTGAACAATTTCTGTTAAGGTCAGACAAGTTATCCTCAAATCATGAAAAAAAAAAAATTTTCTTCAGATGTATAATCCATCTTTGATAACGAGGAAGAAGCACTTGGATGGACAGATTCTTAAATCACTTATGTACAGTGTTCAATGTAGACTGTGATATAGCTGTTGACTGTAGGAGTTGTAATCGAAAAAAAAAACGACTTTGTACATATTTATATCAGTGAAAGCAAGGAAGATACAATTATAATTATCATGTTGTGCCATAATTAATTAAAAAATTAACAAACGTCACTTGAATTTTTCAGTTGATATTATAGTAAAGTTATACTATGTGATAAGTATGCTTTGAAAATAAAGTGAAATATAATCATAGTTAAAAACAAAAAAAGGAGCTGAAATCTATTTAAGGGAGGAGATGAAACAAAAACAAAGTTGTCTTTATGTTAGTAAATACAAGTGAAATAAAGGGTGTTCCAATAACTTAAACCTAATTCACATTTAAAATTGGTCTAAGTGTCTAATGTTTTTTTTTTCTTTTTCTTTCAGATTTAACAACTTAAGTCTTTGGCAATTTCAACCATGGAAAGATTAACAATCAAACAACGTGTTAAAGTTATCAAAGCCTATTATGAAAATGGACATTCAAACAGAAATGCATTTCGCGCACTTCATGATTTTTTTTGGTCAACATAATCAACCAACCAAGAGTGCAATTGGAGAAATTGTTCATAAATTCAAACAAACTGGGTCAGTGGCAGATGTGAAAACACCATTGCATGCTCTTTTATGCTGAAAAAATGTTAAAAATTGTCTAGTCTTCTGATTTTTGTAAAGGAATTTATAAGCGAAAAAAATTATGCAACTAAGATATAAGGAAAAACAAAAGTCCAGCTTGCCACCCGAACAACCTCCAGATTATTAAAAAACATAATTTAAGAATGATACATTAATCAAGAGAGAGCAAAATAGCAATGCAAAAATTATAACATCGTACAGGATTACAAGATTAGCCTTGAGCAAATGTGGCTGTTACTCTCCATATCTCTTCTACTTTACTGGACTGGTCTGCCCAATTAAATAGGAGTCTCCACTATTTGTTCTGTTAAATATAATTTTGTCTCCTACTAATCAGTTTTACTTTGGCCTTCTACTGAGGACACAATAAAAAGTCTTCACCATCTATCTAATACTTTATTTTGTAATGAAAGCAATAATCCACATATATAAAAACAGTGTACACATGCATAACACTTTCATTCATCACTAGAAGAAACTGCTACATAAAGATGAACAAATTACATGTTAAACTTAATAAATAAAACTTTAGAGGCAACAAGCTATTAACTTCTATGTTCACTTTTATATTTACATATGCTCTTTCTCTGATATTGAGAACTTTATCCTATAAATATAGCACACCTTAAAACTATACTTGTTCATAAATAAAACTTTATAATTCAAGGTGAATAAAATATTACTTATCAATATTTGGGGGAGTGTAAGACATTTTTTTTTAGAAATAAAGGGTGTTCCATTAAGACAGATCAAAGTCAGCAGTAAATAAATT